ACACACAAAGTTAAAAAGTCTTAGACAATGGCAGTTTTGCTCTTCAAGAAAAGTTATAGCAACTGTTATTAATGAGTCATCTAATATATATGTTGCAATCAGGTGACTTTGACTAATTTGATGTTATTTTTGTCTTTTTTAGACATACATCTACAATAGAGAACATGCAAGCATTTTAAAGCTTAAGACATTTAGCAGTTTGTTGGCAGGTGATTGAATTTAACTAGTCTCCTAGGAGATGGAGGAATGGAAATTTTAGCAGCTCTTGTTTTCAAGGACAGAAATGACTAAGAGATCAAATGTAGAGTCACTAAGTATAAGTTAGTGAAGTCTTTTTTAACGATGTGGCAGGATCTGTCATTTCTACTTCAAAATGGCCTGATCTGGTGTGGGAAGTCCTTCTGTACATGTGTTGCTTTTATTGGTTAATGAATAAAGCTGTTTCAGTCAGTGGCTTAGCAGAATAGAGCTAGGTGGGAAAACTAAACTGAATGCTGAGAGAAAAAAAAGGTGGAGTCAGTGAGACACTATGTAGCCTCCAGAGCAGACAGATGCCAGAACTTTGCCTGGTAAGCTACAGCATTATGGTGGGTGATGCATACATTAATGAAGATGGGTTAGTTTAAGCTATAAGAGCCAGCTAGAAATACACTTAAACTATTGGCCAAGCAGTATTGCAAATAATAAAGTTTCTGAGTGATTATTTTGGGTCTAAGTGACTGGGAATGAACCAGCAAGCAAACCTCCAACAACACGGATCCGAAAGTTGGGGATACTACAGTTATGTAGATATTTAAATAACAATAATTGTCTTTTGTAGGTCTCTACTGCAGTGATAAACTAATACTTGGAGGAAGTTAAGACTTACCAGGTCAAAAGGCACTCAGGAAACACCGCTTGGTCACTCCTTATTGGCCAAGCACAGTCAGGACCTCTGATAGCACCGGGTAGACTCCAGGTTGGCTCCTTTTGGCTTGGTAGCCTTAACTTCCTACAAGTACTGTCAAAAGAATTCATTACAGTGGAAGACCAAGAAGAAAAATGTAATGAAATGCCATAAAGGGGTTTGGCACTGATCTCTTTTTAAACTATATTAAGGCATAATTTACATATGATATTATTGATTTATTTTAATTGTAGAATATGTCTAGTTTTAGTAGAGCCATGCAGTTATGAAGTCATCACCACAAATGCATTTTAAAATAGTGTTCATTTTTTTTAGCTAAATTTTTTAGTTAGTATATAGAATCATGGGCTTCGTTGTATAATTTCATTCATAAATATCACGTACCTTGCTCACATTTGTACCCCTACTCTCATGTTTTTCTCGCCTTTTCATGACGCTCTTCCCAGCTCCACACCCTGGGTTGGTTTGTTATTGATGGAGGAGCTCACTTAACCTCTCCTCCTGATCTCTCTCTATGTCCACTCCCTACATGCTAGGATCACAGCCCCGTGCCCGCCCTACTGTCTAAAGAACCTCAACACAACAGCACATGAAAGCGAACTGTACCTTATCCCAACTAGTAACCAACGCTATACTTAAAGGTGGAATTTTGAAGTTTTGCTGGTAAGATACAAACTTAGTCTATGCAATGTGAAGAAAAAAAAAAAAAGAAGCATTAATTACAAGTGTATTTAACACATGAAATGAGATTGGAAAAGATGGAAAGGTAGTATTAGTCTAGACTGTTGGAGCATTATACAGCAATGTAGTGTGTGTGCGTGTGTGTGTATGCATGTGCGTATGTGTGTGTGTGTGTGTGTGTGTTATGAGTAGCCCATTAGGCTTCGCCGTATGAAAAAAGTCCCTTCTTACCTGGAGCTAAAAAGTTAACTAGAAATAAAATTTGGATTGAGAGAGGTCAATGCCATGCTGACATTGGACAACATGATGAAAAACATTTGGCCAGATGATTTAACTGAACCATCAAACAAACCCTAAACCCACTAAATAAAATTTAAAGGTAAAAAAAAAGAAAACCTAGAAAAATGGTGCAAGTGATATCAGTTAAAATAAATAGTAGGTAAAAGTTTCTCACAATTCAGAAAAAAGTGTAAGACTTGGATTCTGTTTAAAAAATTAAATAGCCAAAGAATGCCAAATAGAACATTAAAATGATAGTCAAGCTTTAGAATTTTTTTTTTTATTTTCTTATTGTGTTTTATGGGTATGAGTGTTTTGCCTGCGTGCATACATGTGCACCATGTGCCCCAAGAGGTCAGAAGAGGGCATCCAAAGCCTTGGAACTGGAGTGACTTGAAGCCGTTTGTGAGCCACTGTGTGGGTTCTGGGATTGCACCCAGATCCTCTACAAGATCAACAAGGTCTCTAAACCACTGAGTCATCTCCCCTGCCCCTAAGATAGTCCATCTTAATTGTTAGATGTTAATCTTAACTGTACAGAGACAATGTCCCGGAGACAATAAAACAACCTTTGGGTGTGTCTGTATGTTTCCAGACATAATTAGGTCATGTGGACCCTGAGTTAGTCAGCGGTTTAATACATTGGAGCCTTTAAAACTTAAACAGATGGCTGGGTGATGGTGGGAGTTCCTGATTGGTGGGAGGAAGTGGGTCCCTGGGGTGTGTGCTTAGGTGCTGTGTCTTTCTCTCGGATTTTCCATTCGTCTCCCTGCCCCCTCATTGGGGCTTTGTTGCTGTGATCAAACTCCTCTGATTCGTCCTCCTCTCTCCGTACTGGTTGACTGACACCTCTGAAACTCAGCAGAAATAATTTCTTTCTCTAAGTTATTCTGCCCCATGTTTTGTTTATAGCTGTGCAAGAGTGACTAAGCCACTGGCTATGGAAATCACATGAGAACAAGACACGTAATCACACTTACTCTCAAATCAGACGATACACAGCCCTTGGGACGGACTAGTCCTTTGGTGCTGGTGGGAGTGGGAAATCAGCGTGACAGTCCTCACAACATTGTGTAATTAGCTTTAAAATCCCTTGTCTTGGGGGGGGGGTGGCACTTGCCTACAGTCCCACCCTTTTGGAGCCTGAAGCAGGAAGACTATTAGTTCAAAGCCAACCTGGACTGAAGATTATTAATTCAAAAGCAGCCTATTGGGACCCTGTCTCAAAAGACAAAATAACACTTATATCTTGTCTTAACAAGCAGTTCCATATTCTGTGTCCAGCTGAAGCACACCAATCTCAGAAAGGATGTTGAGCACAGTGTTTATATATGTTTGAGAATTCTGGAAATAACCTAAAATTTTCAAATACTGACAAATAAATTGTGATCCTGTCACAAATGTATTAAAGAAGGACTTTTATTATCACCAGTAAATGTTTATACATCACTAAAGAAAGAAGAGCAAAAGTTTATAGTCTTATGTTTTCTTATAGTAAAAAACATTATTTTTGGTATCTGTGATGCCTATTTTTATTTTTTTGCACTTAAAAATCCTGATTTTTAGTTACTGACTTTTTCACTGAAAACATATTTTCATTTAATATCTTTTGATGTTTTTCTCCTACCCCAGTTCCTCCCAGACCATCTCCATTTCCCTTCCTGCCAAAGTCTATGTTCTTCTTTTCTCTCTTTTAAAACAAACAAAAACAAAAGAAATACATGTACACTCCCTTCCTCAAGATGAAAATGCAAACAAAAGACCAATAAGATAAAAAAATATGCCCCCAGCAAAATGAGACAAGAAGTCCAGAAAAATATCAATGAGTTTGTTTTGCATTGGCCTACTACTCTTGGACTTGAGGGCCTGCCCTAAAAATGTGATCCATGTACCCAGGGAGACTCCATTGGAGAAAACAGATTTTCCTTTGCCAATGGTATCAGTTGCAGATAGCTTCTTGGCTAGAGCGGGGGAAGTCTATGTCTACACCCTAAAGAGCTGAGAAGAGAGCTTCGGTGGAGGAATTAGCTAGGTCAGGACCATCTGCTGGGAAATGTCTTGACTGTGAATGAATATTATTGAAAGATTAGCCTGTTGTGGGCACTGGTGCTCTCTAGGCCGAGGGCCTGAACTAGACAGGGGATAGTGATATTTCATTTGTATTTTAATAAATAAAGGTTGCCTGAAGATCAGAGAGTAAAACAGCTGCCCTGGTCAGCCTTACAGACCAGGCAGTGGTGACACACACCCTTAATCCCAGCACAAGAGAGGAATATAAGATGAGAGGAGACAGCTCTCAGACACAGTCTCATTCTGAGAATTCCTGGAGGCAGGATCGCCATTTCAGGCTGAGGTAGCCGTAAGAGCCAGTGGCTGGCTGTTCTGTTTTGACCTTGAGGTTGAACCCCAGTGAGTTTTTATTCATTGTGCTACAACAGGGCAGGTAAAGTTGGATGAGAGCCAGCATGCAGGCAGGCAGGTTCTTGGGTGAGGAAATGGTGTGATGTAACTGTTTGGGTTCCTGACTAGACCTCCCTCCCAGTGATGGACTGTAACCCGGAGAACTGTAAACTTATAAACCCTTTCTTCCTAAGCCGTCTTTGGTCAGGATATATTATCACCAAATCAGAAATGACAAGTACTGAGTTGAGTTTTGATGTAACTGCGTTTCCTTGTTCACCGGGCATTGTATTACACCAGAACGCTTTTTTTCCCAAATTATATTGTGTTTAAATATACTAGCAATACACTGCCTGGCATAAGACTCCCTGAAGCTTGATCAAGATTGAGAAAATTAATCTAAACTAAGTTTTCTAAAACTCTCTATGGTTCCTTTCCCTGCTTACACCTTCAGGATGCCCCTCAATATGTCAAAAATATTTCACAGAGCATACTCACACCATAAATTATTATTTATCTGAAATTGAAGTGGAAAGAGAGCCCTGTGTTTTGTGCCTGTGTGGTTTAAACCTGGAAAGTTTATCTTTTTTTTTTTTTCTTAACTCAAACAGCTGACAGTTTTATTTTCACATTTCACAATGGAAGTGAGCGCTGCACTTTTTCTAACCCCACTTCTCCCCTCCAAACTATTCTGTCAGGAAAGGGGAAGGCTTGCTTGTCGTGCAGCTAGAAAACACCCAGGCTCAGCACCGTGATCAACTGCTGAAACAGAATAAGAAATACAAAACCGAAAAAGAGCCTTTCCGCTTTTATCTGTCCGGCCGAGTCATGCCAGGCCGTGTGGGCACCATCATAGGGCGAGCAGGGGGTCTCATCATTGGAGGTCCGGGCATCATGGGCATGTGGCCACCCATGGGAGGCCTCATTCCAGGAGCAGGTCCCACGGGCATCATCCCAGGAGGAGGAGGACCCATCATCGGCATCATGGGAGGGCCTCCCATGTGGGGTGCAGGCATCATGCCAGGGCGAGGAGGACCCGGGAGACTCGGGGGAGGCGGGATCATGGCCCCTGCAGGAGGAGGAGCAGAGAATGGAGCTGGAGGTATCTTTCCTTGTTGAAATGCAGCCGTTGTTTTGTCAATCAGGCTCTGGGCCTGCTCTTCCATCCATTTCTGGTAGTAGTCTTTCACGTTCTCCTTGTGCTTCCGACCGCTGCAGTGCGTCTTTCTCACAGATGGAGAATCATGGGTAAGATACGTATCACAGTAGTCACAATAAAACTTAGGCATGTTGCTCCGCAGGCCGTTGGCAACCCGCTTCTGGAAAGTTTATCTTATACACTTTATTTATATGTATCTTTTTTGAAGGGGTGGTGGTTTCGAGATAAGGTTTCTCTATGTGGTTTTGGAGCCTGTCCTGGAACTCTGTCTGTAGACCAGGCTGGTCTCTAACTCAAGGAGATCCACCTGCTTCTGCCTCCCAAGTGCTAGAATTAAAGGCATGCACCACCACTGCCTGTATTTATATTTATCTTATACTCTTTGCATTGTTAAGTTGCCTTTGCTCTTTGAGGAACAATTTTTTATAATAAATGGACGAGGGAGTAAGTGAATGGATAGATGATTGAAGATGCCCTAGTAGAAGAAGGCTTTTGAGACATCTTTACAGTTTTTCAAAGCACATTTAAATTGTATATAAAGAGATTTTTATTATGATGTTTTCATAACCGTACCCATTTCAATCACATTTATATCCCATTACACACCCTGATTCCTTCCCCACTCCAACTGATCTTCTTCTACTCAATTAGTCCCCTTTTGCAATCATGTCTTGTGAATAATTAACCAATTAGTTTAATTATGATTACTTACAAGAGCACAGGTGGGAGGGGTTATTTATAGGCGCACAGACACCTTGCCAGGCGCTACACGAATGTTGCCTTAATCTCTAAGAATTTCCCCAGTGTAATAATTCAAAAATAGAATTGTGGTCAGTAGACTGGCCTTTTACATTAATACCAAGTAGAGTTCCTTTCTCCCCTCCCTCCATCTCTTCTCTCCATCTTTCTGCCCCCCTTTTCCTCTGCCTTCTTCCCTTCTCTACATTCCTCCTTCTCACTCTATTTTTATACCTTGTCTTTCACTAACATTAAACAAAAGGAGATCTGGAAGAGTTTCAGATTCGTATATATTAGAAAATGAAAGAGCTGCGAGTAAAGATCAAAGGGCTGGAGAATATTCAACCCACGAAGGGAGAATGGAGCCGTGATCTCACATTAGCTAGCTCTCTTTGATCACCGGTAGAAAGGTAGAACTCATTTGTGCTCTGTAGGTGATGGAAGGCGACAGGCGAGGTTTGCTCTTAGTGTGAGAGGTACAGGAGGGACACGCGATTGGAAAAGACCCTGTTTCAGGCAGACGAGCCAATTCACATAATACTTACTGAAGAGACCCGCAGTACAGCCACGCAGCTCACCCCATTCTAATACCCCCACCTCTCTTTCTTTTTCTTTAAGTTTTGCTTTAGTGAAAAAAACGGTTTTTGTTCATAAAATATATTTTAATCATGTTTTTTCCTCTCCCAATTCATCCTACATGCTCCCCACCTCCCTCTCCACCAAAATGTATGTTTTTTCCTCTTTCTCTGCAAAAGCCAACACATATAACACACACACGCACACACACACACACACCCCTACATAAAGCCAAATCAAAATAAACAAGCAAAAGACTGATAAGACAAAAGTACCCAAAGCAATATGAAGCAAGAAAGTCTACAAAATTAACAGTTTGAGGTCTTTCTTGTGTTGGCCAACCACTCCTGGGCAGACATGGGACCTGCCCTGAAACTCCATCAGAGAAAATTGATTTTTCTTTGTTAGCAGGTATTGATTACAGATAGCTTCTTGGTTATGGGTAGAACTCTGTGACCATTGGCACCTCCCTCCCTCCTCTCCCTCCCTCTCCTCCTCCTCCTCCTCCTCCTCCTCCTCCTCCTTCTTTTCTGAGTCAGGGTCTCATTAGGTAGCCCTGCCTGTTCTGAAACTCACTATGTAGACAGGCAGTCCTTGAGCCTATAGAGATATGTCTGCCTTTGCCTCCTGAGTCCTGGAATTAAAGGTATATGCCACCACACCCAGCTCTTCCTATTACCTACAATATAGAATTTTCCGGAAGAAAAGAGCATTCTTTTGTCAGTTTGTATTTGAGAATGAGATACCAGCACCGTAGGGAGTTAATTACTTCCTGACAGTTCTAAGCCAGAGTGGTCCTTTTGCCTTTCCTGGATGACAACACAGACTTATTTTCCATCCTCTCTCTGTTTCCAGGCAGCTGCTGCACCTCATGTAAAAGGCAGAAAATACGATGAAGATTTTTCAGCGTGAGATGCGGTACTGGCTGCTTCTGGCTTTTTTGGCGGTTGGTTATTTCTGCACCATCGTCCGGAGTCAAGGTAATTGAAAGACCCAGGAGCCAGTTTCTTGGGTTCTCCATCCTCACCATCTTTTTGTTTGTTCACCTGTCTTCCCAGGCAGGACATCCGTCAGCTTTTATTCTTTTTTACCAACTAGTTACAATGTAGCAATGGAACACACCACTTACAGGGTTACCATGTCACCGAAACTGGGCATAGCCATTATGGAGAAGTTGATTAAAGAGAGGGTGCTGAAAAGCCATCAGAGTTGAATCTGTGAAAATCAAATCTGCATGTTGCCAGATCAGCTAGGTTAATAAATGGCAATAGATTATATATATATATATATTTCCCATATAATCTATAATATATTTTATTTTTTGGAGACCTAGACTCCTGTGTAGCCTTGGCTTGCCTGGAACTCTCTATGTATACCATGCTGGCATATAATTTACAGAGACTCAGCCTTCTCTGTCTCCTGAGTTCTGGGCTTAAAGCTGTATGTTGTCATACCTGGGACCTATAGTATATTTATATCACTTTAAATTTCATTCCTTTTTTTAGTTCTTTCCTTAAAACTGAGTACAGTTTAAGATTGTTAAGGGTCTAGTAGAGGTTTCCACTAATATGTGACTTTATTTTGGCCTTTTGGAAAAGAGTTTGTGAAATCTACTCTTTATATTAGCAAGATATGTACTGTTGCAAACCCCCTTTCTTCTAAGTCAGTAGTTGACAAACTGCCATCCATGGGCTCAATCTGGCCCACTGTCTGTTTGGATAAACTTGTATTATATGCACACTTGTTTACATATTGCGTATGGCTGCTTTTACATTAGGGTGGCAGAAGATACTACTGTCTGGCCTTTTACACAGAATTGTGCTATTCATGAAGTCAGTGCACATCACACACAGTTTGAATGCCTCTTTAACTAGACAAACACACACTTCTGCAGAAGCTTAACTGCCACCTCTGAAATATCCATCACTAGAGTAAAACGCATGAATGCAATGAGGTAGTTTTAGGAATGTTAATGTCTCATATCTGGAATTGGCTGCAAAAATCAAATGCATGAACCACCACACCCTGCTTCTTCAAAGCAAGGCACACCTGTTTGAAAAGGAATGGAACTCGACCCTCGGCAAGTTCACATAGCTGTCATGCACCTGGGACTGAAGGCTGTATTTTCATCTACTTCATTGAACACATAGTGAGCAGCTAGGGAGACAGATTGTGCTTGTCCTATGTACACTGGCAAAAAGAAGGTTTTTGGAGGCAATTTACTCCCTGAATTCCACGATGCAAGACCCAGGTCCGTAGGAATGAAGCAAGTCACAAAAATGTTCAGCCATGCAATCCCAATCTTGGTTTATTTAGAACCTTTATTTGTGGATTGGAGTAGACATCTCTATGCAATCTCTTCAAGGATGAACTGCCAGATCCACCTTGTCAGCCAGATTCTGCTTCAGATGAATGGTTAAGGGGCACATTTTGTGTGCCTGTGATTCACAAGCTCTGCTGAGTAAGAGAGTTTTTTTCCTCATCAAGAAGTTTCCTGGCCACCAGATAGAAGTACTAGTGGATAATCACAGTGCATGTCCCATGGGACTGTGACGAAAAGCAAAGGCCGGAAACCAAATGGACATTTAACTGCTGCTAATTTTCAAATAATTTTATTTTGTAGAGATAATATTGGTAACAACACTATCTGTGCTTGTGACTCATATGAATTTCAGGCATAGGCATAATTAAGATCGTCTGGCTGCTAAAATATCCAGTTGTTCCTAAACTGGGCATTGGTGTCTGAAGCAGGCGATGTGACGGAAGGGAAAAGTGTGGATATAGGAACCAGTGGTAGAAGAGATGGGTAAGAAGAGATGGTTTGCTGAGTAAGTGTGCAGGCGGGCAGAAGAGAGGGAATACACGAGGTGACGCGGAAACTCCTTGGCTGAGACCTGAGTGGATGGGACATTTGGCTCTGTTCCTTGTGTTGCTACTGCTTCTGTATGTTTGGTTACAAGAGAAGGTTTGAATTTTAGAAGGCATTTATGTTGAATAGATTAATAGACAAAGGGGGAATTTTAAGTTCAAGATACTGAGTTCAGCCTTAGACAAATATGTGGGGTTTTAGGTTTTGGGGAGACATACAGGTGGGCCTGGTAGGTGTGCAGTTGATGGGGTTTATAGGAAAAGTTTTAAGACCAGGAGAGTTTTTCCTTGAGTTGTTGTATTTTATGGTTAGGACTAGAGACCTTTGAGACCCTTGTGGTGTTACTAGAGAGGGGTAGCTCCACGGAAAGATGGTGATGAAGCCTGCAGAACACTCTCAGTCAAGAGTTCAGTGGAAGAAAAATGGCTGATCAAAAGTTGTCCAATGAAGAAGAAAGAAGAGGAAGAGGAGGAAGAGGAGGAAATCAAGGAAACTGTAAGAAGAGTCCGGGAACTACAGTGTCTGGAAGTGAAGGATGGAAGACTGTGGCTGCGTGCTAAGACAGCCAAGTTAGAAAAAACTTCAGATGTCACGTGGACTCTGGTGTCTGAAAATCCATGAGAACTTCCAGAAAGTTTATCTTATTTCTACCATGACCACTCAGTTACATGTTCTGAGCAAGGAAAAGACATGCAAATTGCTTTACTGTATTGATTTTATATTCTATGAGCTCCTATGAGTTGGCCACTTTTGACATGACCCTTAAAAGTCATAAAGACATTGTGAACCTAGCTTTGAACAAAATTGAAAATATACAGATAGATAGATGATATACAGACGTACAGAAAGATGATAGATAGATAGATAGATTAGATAGATAGATAGATAGATAGATAGATAGATAGAAAGAAGAAAGATAAAAGAGTCCTGAGAAGGAAAGAGGAAATAGAAAATTATTCACCGGATAAGCAT